GTTGATAATGATAATAACGGTAATAAAGTACACAGATCTAATTCAAAATAACCGCACATATCATTTATAATTTCACTTAAAAGAGGTGAATTTTCGGGTTAAGTTACTTTTAAAGCAACTGGGACAACACACATATTTCCAGGATCTTAATGCTTCATAGAAACCTTGTGATTAAAAAGCTCACCCGCTCTGAGGTTGGGTGCTTCTTTCGCTGAGCGCCATCGTGCCTCCCAGCTGAGGGATTATGCTAACCAAGCAGTCGGATTGACAGTGTGAAAATAAGTGAAGGCCCTTCCAGTAGCTTTGTCAACTCAGCCTACACTTTGGCTAGGTTAACACTTACCTTAGAACCAAAGCAGCCTGATACTAAGCTTTTAGCTCAGGGCTTTAATTTCCCTGTGTCCTGACACCCATAAGGAGCTCAGCATTTCATGGTTTGACGGATGAAAAAAGAAAAAAAGAAGAAGCTAAGAGCGGTTAAATGACTCAGTGCTACAAATCCTAAGGAACTGACCACTGAGAGAAGAGAGGGTTGACAGATTTCCTTAGAACTGTTTAGAATCCGACGGAAAAGGTCTCATCTGGAAATCATCTCTTCACCCATTTCCTTAATAATAGATTTTAAAAAAAAGGTGCCATAGATCTATGCAAAGCTTGGATTTTCAGCGCAGACCATACCAATGGTAACTCTGAAAAACATCAATTCATTATGTCGTGTAGTCAACTACTGTTTAAAAGATCTAATAAACTGTTACTGTGAGGTCCTGCTGTTCCTCGGTCATCAGGACTCTCTCTTCATGAACTTCGCTCAAGCGTGTCTAAATCTAGAGGCATTCCTCAGAAATACACTCCTCTACTGTGCACATACAGTATACAACTTAAGGACACTGGATAAGAGCAGTCTTCAAAGGAAGAGGAAAGACAACTGCCCCGCCGCCTCCCCCACCCTCCTAAACTCACCATCGTAAATTAGTTTGCCTTTCTCTTCCCCTGACGGAGTGTGTAACAGCGAGCGCCAAGTGTGACCAATTTCCATTCACACTCAATACAACAGCCCGTGCCGGAGCTAATTAGGAAGAGAAAGACGATCCTTCAGCAAACAAGAGAAAAGACTGCGCACGTGTGCATATGTGCCTCTTTAGTGGGATTACAAAAAGCGCTGCATTAGTCAGACATCATTTCATGGCCTGTTTAGTCGGTAACTGAGTGTCCCTCCACTGTATTTAAACGCACAGCTTAAGCTGAGCACCGACACACACAAACACAAGTTCAGCTCAAAGCAGGCACGACGCTTATACTGTCTGCATATGACTCCTTTCTCTCACTCTCCCACACACACACACACACACATATAAACACACACCCTCAAATTGAAGCCAGAGATCTTTACTAAAGCCAGGCTACGAGGGAGGAAGTGAAGTCGTTCCACCACTGTCAGAGAATACAAAGGTGGAAGAACGGCTGGGGCGAGGAGGAGCGGTGTCCAACTTCCTGCTGAGAGAAAGGAAATAAACACTTCCATATGCAAAGCCTGCCAGGAACCCACAGAGCCTGGAGTCCATGCGGTAACACTGTGTTGTAAATTTGAGCAGGAGGGCCCTAGTTAGCAACACGCACCGCCGTATGAAAGGGGGAATATTTTCTGCTTCCAGAAATTTATAGCTAGTGAGGCCTTGTTTATCACACCAGCTCCAGTTTATAATGCAGTTGGAGAGAAATACACTCCTCCGAAGCTGCAGTGCCTCGATTCCTGATCGGTCTGGAAGAGCTACGGTTGGTTTTACGTGAAGAGGATTTGTTGCGTGTAAGAGTGCGGTAACATACAGCCAATACTGTGGACCAAAGCGACCCAGACGCTCCTGCCTGGGGAAACCCATGAACCCTGAGTCATTTCTCAGGTCCAGAAAACACACGCACATTTCATACACGCTTATTTGTTTTACAGTGCTTGTGAAGACCTTTGACGGCTACAGTCCCTCGCCCCCGATAGCACCAACACCCGAAACCTCGGCCGCCTTTCTGTCCACACGCAAAATACAGTACAAGAACACACGCAAAATTATGCACACTATCGTAGACGTTTCCCTGATTATTAACACACCCGACATGTGTACTAACACCAGAGAGCAGGACACTAATCTGCTCTCAATCTGAAACCTCTCTGTTGTGACTGTGCGTCTGTACAAGCATGTGTTTGTGCGGGTTATCCACAGGGTTATCCAGTGACTGTTTTGCATATGTGGAGCAGTAGGTCAGCTTCTCATGAAGATTATCCATAAAGACGTTCCGGGAGCTTTATCAGATTGACAAGTTTTATCATAATGTGAATTTCTGTTTGCAAACGCCGCTTACTTTCTTTGCATTATGTCTCTGCCTGAGTATTAAACATAAAGCTGCATTAGGACATCAGGACATTTGCTTAAAAGGCTGAGGAGTGACAGCGCACGTCTGTGTTTGTATGCAATAGTCCTTAATGACATAATCCAGTTATTTTCCCACAGCTTCTGACCAGTCAACGCACAGTGAAGTGGACTCCTCGTAGCAGGGTGTATTGCAGTAAATGTGTGTGTGTGTGTGTGTACGTAGTGCTTTTTCACAGACACCCAAAGCAAACATCACAATCTCTGCAGCCGAACTCTTATCAGCTCAGACTAGAAATGCCTGTGTGTGTGTGTCCATGTGTGTGTG